AATTTGGGGAGAATTGAAATTTTTTGTCAGGTTGCATTTTCCTGTCTAGGAACTGATGTGCCTCCCCTTTATTCATTCAAGTCTTTTGTGTTTTCTCTCAATAGAATCTTTAAAAATGTTCTTTATAGGGTGGTGTCCTTAGCTCAGTGGGTAGGGTGCTGGCCACATACACCGAGGCTGGTGGGTTCGAACCCAGCCTGGGCCTGCTAAAAACAACAATGACAACTACAACCAAAAAATAGCCAGGTGTTCTGCCAGGTGCCTGTAGTCCAGCTACTTGGGAGGCTGAGGCAAGAGAATCACTTAAGTCCAAGAGTCTGAGGTTGCCATAGGCGGTGATGCCACAGTACTCTACCAAGGGCGGCATAGTGAGACTCTGTCTCAAAAAAATGTTCTTTATATAAATCTTGTACTTTTAAAATGTTTGTCATTATTCTGATTAAGAACTTTCATCCAGGCAAGGTGGCTCACATCTGTAATCTCAGTGCTTTGGGATTGGAAGCTGAAGCAGGAGGATTATCTGAGGCCAGGAATTGGAGACCAGCCTGATCAATATAGCAAGACTCTTCTTTAAAAAAAAAATTAGCTGGGCGGGTGGTGCCTGTGGCTTAAAAGGATAGGGTGCAGGCACCGTATGCTGAAGGAGGCGAGTTCAAACCCAGCCCCGGCCAAAAAAAAAAAAAAAACTTAGCTGGGTATAATGTCACAGGTCTGTAGTTCCAGCTACTCGGGAGGCTGAGGAGACAGGAGGATCCTTTGAGGTTGCAGTGAACTGTCATGATCCCACTGCACTCTAGCCGGGAAAACTGAGTAAGATCCTGTCTCAAAAACAACAACAACAAAAACAAAACAAAACAAAAAGTCCATATCTCAGTGAGTAGGGCACCAGCCACATATACCAAGGCTGGCGGGTTTGAGCCCAGCCTGGGCCTGCTAAACAACAATGACAACTGCAACCAAAAAATAGCCGGATGTTGTGGTGGGCACCTGTAGTCCCAGCTACTTGGGAGGCTGAAGCAAGAGAATTGCTTAAGCCCAAGAGTTTGAGGTTGCTATGAGCTGTGACACTGCAGCACTCTATCCAGGGCAACATAGAGACTCTGTCTCAAAGAAAAATTCTCATTTCATCTTCTATCTAGTTGTTATTTATAGATGAAGGCTTTTGATTTTTTTGTATTAGGAACACATTTAACCGTCATACTGATTTCTCTGATTATGTAAGAGTACAGCTGATTTTCTTGGGTTCTCTATCTAGTCATATTATCTGCAAATGGTAATAATTTTAACTTCTACCTCCCAATTTTTTAACCTCCTGTTTCTCTTTGACTTAAAGGAAATGCTTTAGTATTTTCCCCTTAATTATTACGTTTCTGCTAATTTTTATTTGGTAAAGATCCTTTTCAATTCTTACTTAAAATGACTCTTGCCCTCTTGTCCATGGGTAGTTGTGGCAAACTTTCCAGTCACTCCCTGGAAACACTGAAGACTGAACGGGACAAGGCAGAAAGGCCTCCCTGGGACTGGGCAGTCATCAGCCTCTCAGCCGTTTCTCTCTGCTTTACAGTATGGTAGCTTAACAAATGCTCCCTGTCCTATCAAGAGAGATGAGCAGGTGGAGAGGCCTTTGAAGATGTGCTGGGCACACAGCTCTACGCTGAGTTCCAGCTCCACATGTGCTTATGCTCCACCAGCAATCGGCCGTTTGCCAGCACATAGGCATGTCCTGGGCTGTTTCTTGCCCTCAATCTCACACATAAAGCCACCCCTTTCCACGCTGGCACTTGTAACAGGGAAAATCCCGCCCTGAAAACCCAAAGGGAGACCATTTGAGTCACATTTCCTATTGTCTTTTAAATTTTACTGTTGGCCCTAGACTTCTAATCACAACCGCATCTGTCAAATCCCTTCTTAACTGAGGACCAACCGCCTACTGCGGTTTCATTTGCTCTCTGACCACTTCCTTCATTTCGGATATTCTGTGAACTTGAATTTTACTGCCAACTATGCAATGTGCGTTATAAGTCATGTGGATTTAATTGCCGTTATGACAGGTTTTTGATTTTGAAATAAAGAAATCATAACCTCCGGAAGGGTGCCACTCTTCAGATCTCAAATTCCAAAATTCTTGAAGTTTTCATTTGGCTAAAAAGCAGAGACAGCTGACATGAAGACTTTGGTGACATCTAAGTGGAGTCAGAATAAATAGGCATGGAAATGAACCATTTGTTCTGAACTTTTTCATTTTGTTCTTGATGTCAAGCATAGGATGGCAGCTTTTAAACAATAAGACACCATCACATTTGGTATTACTTTTGTTCTCATGCCTGGGGCACCGGAGCATTGTGCATCTCTGTTAAATCTGCTTGGCCTGTTTCAAGCGCTGAAAGCAGGACTGATTTCCTATTTTGACTTCAGGACAATGTGAACTTTTGTTCTTTAAATGAGTGATAAGCCACAATCTGCAGTTGACTATACATATGGAATTTCCTCCTTGACAGACTCCATAAATCTTAATACACTTACTTAAAAACACAGCATCCTTGGTATTTAACAACTCCATTGTTACAAAATGAAGCCAGTAGTTCTATCTAGTCTCTAGAGCAAAAACTTGCTCACCAGTCCTTGCCACTTCCCCCTCAGGCTGCAGAATAACAGGGCCTGGGCCTATGATAAATGAGCAATAGATACGTATTTAATGAGTAAATAAGTCTGCAATTCAGTTCAGGCTGAGTGTGCATCTTTTTTTTTTTTTTTTTTTTGAGACAGAGTCTCAACTCTGTCACCTTGGGTAGAGTGCTGAGGCATCACTGTAGCTCACAACAACCTCAAACTCTTGGGCTCAAGTGTTCCTTTTGCCTCAGCCTCCTGAGTGGCTAGGACTATAGGCAACCTGTCACAACACCCAACTAATCTTTCTATTCTTAGTAGAGACGGTGTCTCACTCTTTTTTTTTGAGACAGAGTCATAGCTCACAGCAACCTCGAACTCCTGGGCTTAAGCAATTCTCTTGCCTCAGTCTCCCAAGTAGCTGGGACTACAGGCACCCACCAGAACTCCCAGCTATTGGGGTCTCACTCGTGTTGAGGCTGGTCTCAAACTCCAGAGCTCAAGCCATCCTCTCACCTCAGCCTCCCAGGGTGGTAGACTATGAGTCTGAATCACCATGTCAGACCTGAGGGTGCTTATTGAGATAATAATTTTATCACTAATTATAATTAATATATACTTATCATATTAATGATAATAATTTTATCATTAACTATAATTAATATACACTTGAAATATTTTTTCAGTCATCAATTCAGGTAAGATAAGCAACACATCTACCCAGAATAATATTCTAGATATTAATCAGGAACTACATTCTCAGTCATAGGGTATGGTTTTTCATTAATTAACGGAAGCATAATTTGTTGTCAGTGGACATTGGCTCTATTCCATTGATCTACTCTCAGCATATCTAAAGATAGTCCTCTCCTAAGGGTCTGGTCGGGTGATAGGTTCTGAAATAGCAACCACCATGATTCGAGGTGTTCACACTGACCTTTTCCAGATATAGGCACTAAACAGCAGACACACAGATAGATCCAGGCTGCTCCCCTCCCCACTTTCTTCTGAGTAACACACCTCGAGTTTTGGACTTTTAGACCTGGGGTGGAGGTGGGGTAGATATTCTGTACAGACTTTCCTCTTTTAAGAAGTTCTAAATAAGTTTGTTAGTCAAATGATGTGAGTCAATGGTACTCTTTCCTTTTTCTTGTTCTCCACATTATTCTCTAAGGCAGGTCTTGAGAAATGAAATAAGTCAGCAAATGTAGGAATAACATGAAGAAAAGAATCCACCAGTGACCAGTCTTTGATTCTAATGCTTTCGTGGTGTATTCATTAATAGCAAAACAAAACAAAAAAAACCAAACAAACCAAAAACTCAAAACCAAACAAACAAAAGACCGTACTTTTCTGAGAATGAACCTGAAGGCGATCGCACTGTTATTTTCACTGACCAGTACCCACTGCATACTCCCAGGATCAGACTCTGCTCTCTAGCGCTGGGTTAGGAATTCTTTCCTCAGCAAGGAGCCTAACTTGTAATTCTCTCCTAGGCCTCTTCTCTCCCAAAGAAGGCTTAAAGAAAGAGCAGTTGAACGCTTTTTCTTTTTTAATTAAAAACATTTTTTTGGTATCCTTGCTCTAGGCCATGATATCAAGCAGATTAAAGAGAATGAAAAAGAAGCACAAAACTACTCCAGCTCATTGGCAAATCCAGAGAGCTCCATCTTCAAACCCAGCAAGTCTACTTGTATTTGACTGGTTGGGCTGTTACAGTGTACTTGCCAGGCCCACTGCCAATTAGAAACCAGGACCAGCCCTTAATTTAAATAGGTGATTTAAGAGCAGCAACTTGGAGGTTTCCTCCCCCCTCCCCTTTTGGGCATTTAGAATTCTCTTTGCTTTCCAGTATTAAGTTTGCTTTAAAAGATACTGTCTTCTTTAAAGTTATTCAGTTTTTATTAACTTTGGTAGCTTTGGCACGATGATCATGTACAAAATCATCACCCTAAGTTTTCCACACTTGGGGTCTGTTAATGACATAATGAGGGAACTTTGTATTATAGATTGATTTAGCATCGTCTTAATCCAAAAGTGCCTTCTCAGCCAAAAATTGATAAAGGAAATAATGTATTCTTGGAGGTTCATTAACCACAAAATCAGTTTGTTTTCTGAATTAAAAAAAAAAAGTACCTGGTTCTGTTCCAAATACCACTCTGGGAGGCACATACCAGACAAAAGTTGACAAGAATAGTAATGATTTGATAAAGTAATCTTAGTAGACAATAGCTATTTTGAATCATATGGCTTGGTAACTCCCACGGTCATAAAAAGGGAATAAAATAAGTTATTTATTGTTAATAAAATGTATACATTCACTACAGAATAGAAAGCTGAGTCATTTAGCAAATGATCTTCTATTTAAAATGATTATTTTCTTTTGTATTTAGGTCTTTCTCTGGAATCAAAGGACTTCAGCTGAAAGTTAACCTACAACCAAATGATAATTACTTTTTCTATGTGAGAGCCATCAATGCATTTGGGACAAGTGAACAGAGTGAAGCTGCCCTCGTCTCCACCAGAGGTACTTTCTCCTTTGTACCTGAGCTGTCTCCAAGCATTTTGTTCTCTTCTGATGCCCGGAGAAGATCTCTTAAAGGGCAATTTCATGAAGCCCCCGATGCTGTTAGTGCTAGGTTTTGATCATTAGGACTCAAGATTGGTCAAAGATCAAGAAGTTTCTTTTATTTTTCTGCCTTATTTTTGGCTACCCATCACCAATGAGTCAGGATGCTTAAAAGATACTGATGTTCAACCTTGAAAAAGGAGATAGTTAAAAAAATATTTTTAAAAAGATAATAATGCCCTGGCCCCACTCCCAAAGATCTGGAGTTGAGCTAGACATCTGTGTTTTTAGAAATTTCCCCAAATGACTCTTGTTTGACTCGCAGTACACTATCATTTGTTGGGTATATTGTTTCGGGGGGGGGGGTTGGGTATATTTCCATCCTATCACACTGTGACCTCTATGAACAAATTTCCAGTCTTGCTCTTCTGTTTATTCTTGGTGCTTAGCACATAGTTTGTGCCAGTTTATGTTTGTTGAATGGCTGATTGAAAGAGTAACTCAAAGAAGTGATAAAACTGTTCAATGGCATTTTGGAGAAAATACCCAGATGATGCCAACAAAAAAAATGTTTGACTAGTCTCAATTTTCATGAAAGGAAATGAGGAATGGAAAGGTGTCATTTTATAACCTTATCCTAGACCCAGAGATGGTACAATCTGTGATTTGTTCAACCAGCAAAAACTTGGGCAAGTGCCTCATTGGTGATGCAGTTAGGGCCAGGGGGATGACTGTGATGAGCAGATGTGAGGGCTCCCTGTCCAGAAATGTTCTCTTCACAGCCCCAGCATCATGGCCATACCTCCCATTGTTAAATCACCTCCTTTAGGCTACCCCAGTGCATCCCCAAATTTTAACAAGTACACAGGTCTCTTGAGGATATTGTTAAAATACGAATTCTGAATCAGTAGATGTGGGGTGGGGCCTGAGATCTGCATTTCTAACTAGGTTCCAGGTGATGGAGGGGCTGCTGGTCTAAGGGGCGCACTTTGCATAGCAGAGTGAGCATATTACAGGACACACCTGGGAGGACATACCAGTGGTCCCATGTAAAACAGCCTCTGGCATCCAGGAGTGCCTTATTGTTGGTGAGAGTTTCATCTGTAGATCCAAAAACACTGAGTGGGGGGATTTTGATGCTAGGGAGAGGGAGACTAAGATCTGAAATGTAGGGCTCAGGCTAGGGACAGCCCTGGGCATTGTAGCAATGTCATGATCCCATTTTTCTAATTGCAATAGGAACCAGATTTCTCTTGTTGAGAGAAACAGCTCATCCTGCCCTCCAGATTTCCGCAAATGGGACTGTCATCAGCTTCACCGAGAGGAGACGGCTGACAGAGTAAGTGGAAGAAGAAAGCCCAAGCGGGCTGATGCCCCACGGGAGAGTCTTAGGGTGTGCTGCCTCCGTGTGGCATCACTGAGCATTGGTTGGACAGACAGGGGATGTGGTGTCGGCTGTGCATGTGTGGCCAGTTCTGGTTCATTGTTAAGGGAAAGGGAAAGTGGCAGTGATGGTTCATCCCGTGGAGCTTTGTCAATATTTTTATTGGAAAGATAAGCACAGATGGTTTTGCTTAAAACATTGGTGGTTTTAAGGTAGTGCCTCTGGTTCAATAAAAGATATGGGCCCAGTGATTCTTCTAGATTTTGTATTAATCCTCTTGAAAAGGAATAGAGGAGAAGGACGTTTTATTCAGTCCCTGGTTCTGGCTACAGAATCTTGTCTCCATAGCAGCTTCCACAAAAGGAAGCATCAAAGAAAAGAAGAGTCTGAAGCTGAGGGCAGGGTGCCCTACAACCTGCCTGCCAACTCTTATGGTCATTTGAGGGTCCACCTGGCCAAATGGGAGAAAGCATGTGAAGCCCGCACTGTTGATGGTGCTGAGGTGCCCTAAGCCAGCCAGCGGCCACCTATGCTGCTCTCTAGGGAGTCACTACTTGCCAATCTGTGGCCCCGCTCAGGTGTGAAAGCTCCTGGAGATGGTCAAGTCTTCTCTGGGCCCTGGTACTGTTTTGTCTTACTTGTATAAAAAGACAGAAAACTTGTAGGGCCATTTGTCATCCACTTGATCATGAATAATCCTTTATCTTAGGCATCTTTGAATTCCCAGAATCCAGCATGGGGCCTGGAACAGTGTAGATGCTAAAAATATACAGATGAGTTAATCCAGGGGGAAAAAAAGTTAAGAAATAAGTTGAGCTTTTTTGTCTTTTGGATTTCTCAAGAAATTAAGAAAAAAAGTAGAGGGGACGTAGGTTAGAGTTCATAGACTATAACCGAGGATAACTGTAAAGTATTTTGTAGAATTTTCTTTGTTATTAACCTGAAAATTAGCTCACAAATATTAGGTAGCCAGGCTTTGCTCCAGAGAGTGAGGGCTCGTCAGCAGCCACCTCTCTGAAATGAGGTTGTTGGGTAAAGACACCAGAAAGTGAAATACACTTTCTGGCATTAATCATTTTCTCATCTGTTAAAGGGGAGTGGGTGCTGACTGAATATTAACACTGCTGAAATTAAAAATGTTTCCTCGCTGTCTCAGCCATTTCCAAGCAAAACTGAGCAATTCATGCAAACAAGGTCACCTGTCAGCAGTTGAAAGTACTTTGGTTCATTTTACTGAGCCTCTTGTAAAAATTGCTAAGGTGAGACAAAAAGGAGACCTTTAACCAGTCTCTCAAGGGCACCTACTATAAGTCAGAGAGGACTTATAGAATCACGAGGACTGTTGACCACAAGCCCCTAAGCACCTCTCGTTAATTCCATACTCTGCTCTGCGCGGCCTCATCTGTCTTGCCATTTAAAAGGTGTATCTCATTTGCTTGCTGGCCCCAGTAAGGTCAGCAGGCACTAGAACTCATTGCTAAAGGTTTTTATGACTCCTTTTTCGGAAGTGTTGGGAGAAAACTCTGAAAATTATATTTCCCACCTGCCTCCCTTAAATTTCCTCTCTCTTCTTAGAAGAAGAGATTCTATCGTTTCTTTTGTCCTACCCCTATTCTAGTTATTTCCTGGTTCCCACTTCCTTTCAGAGATGCAATGTGCGATGTATGTGTGTTGTCTGTGACAGTGGAAATACATCAGATGCGTGTTGAGAGATGGGGAATTCTCTGGCACTCTGGGTCAAGGTTGGAGCACAGTGAGCAAGAGAATATCTTTAGTCAAATTCCAGCAGTTTCCAAGGATAGAACCCTGCCTAAGCTGTGTGTGAGTTTGCGAACGTTGATGCTCATGAGACATAGGCTGGTGATGTCTGTGCCAAGCTTGATCTGCTCGACTTTGCCTGCAGAATCCCATCAGTGCTGGGTGAGGAGCTGCCTGCTTGTGGACAGCATTACTGGGAAACCACAGTCACAGACTGCCCAGCTTATCGGCTTGGCATCTGCTCCAGCTCGGCTGTGCAGGCTGGTACCCTGGGACAAGGGGACACCTCGTGGTACATGCACTGCTCTGAGCCACAGAGGTAAGCCAAAGCCCTACCCCTTCCCTTCTGATCAAAATGTCTGCATGACCATCTAGGGTCTCTGAGGGACCTAATAAATAGCATCCCACTTCCCTTCCCTTAGCTCTGAGCCAACTAAGAAAGAAAACAAGAGTCAAGGATATGGAGACGAAACTCTTATTACTGAGAAAGCTAACTATAGAGGTGGCGGATCAGACCTAAGAGCAAGAGTGTTTCTTCTACTGAGCCCCATTATTAGGCAGGTTCACCCACCCGAGCCCTGGCCAGGCTGGCTTCCCTGCCCTGCAGGGCAGAGTTGATCTCCAGAGACGCAAAGAAGGATTGTGTGCCTCTTCAGTCAGCTCATGAAGAAGAGCTAGGGAAGGGGGCGATGGTGCATGGCCAGTCTTTCCTTCTGACCTCACCCCACTGGGCAGAGAAATCACGGAGAGGCCTCCCTGCACAGAGAAGGAATCAACAGGAGTGAGGAGGAAGCAGATACTCAACACACTCCCCACACTGGTCTTTATCAGGGGTTGGCAAACTACAGCCCATAGGCCAAATGTGACCCGCTGCCTGTCTTTGCACATGAAACTGTATGGAGCACCATCCTGCGCATTTGTTTATGTATTATCTAAGGCTACTTTTGCACCACGGTGGCCTCCAAATCCTAGGATATTTACTATCGGCCTCTTTACAGAGAAAGTTTGCCAACCTCTGGTCTGTCGTTTACATTGTTTGGTTGGGTTGATGTGTAAAAGCCACGATCTTGTGTTAGTCTCGGAGAGATCAGGCAAGCCTGTTATAATCTGAATATGCTCACGGGATGGTGTGATAGAAAGAGCAATGTCCTGGGAGCCAGGAACCTAATTTTAGTCCTGGCTCCATGCTTGCTTGGCCTCCCGTTGGCTGTTCACCAGGAGTTGGTTAACCCTTTGAGCAACCTCACGCATCAGCCGTCTCAGCAGGGGACAGCGAATGCTTGACCTGCTGCCTTTCGGGGGTTGTGAGGACCACATGAAAGTCAGGTACAGGGAAGAGCTTTGAAATTGTAAAGTGTCATAGGAATGTGAGGCATTATTCAAATGAAATGCTTTAAAAAGAAGCCTTGACTGCTTGCAAGTTCCCAGAAAAGGCCCACAGATTGGGATTTGCATATCTCTGGCTGCACATTTCTCCCTCCGTCCTACTTGACAGTTTGCTTCTCTGAGATGGTTCATAAGGACACCATCTCCAAGCACTATTTAAAGTTGCATTTCATCAAGTCAGAGCGATTATGATTAATTGATATTCAGCGCTGTGCAGTGCTTAAGGACCCAGCCCCTGCTCAGAGTTTGAAACCACTCAAACTCAGAGTAGATTTATGGCTAAAACCAGGTATTAATCTCATGAAAACATCCTTACATATTCAAATCCTTAAAAATCCAAGTCCTACTTCCAATAACAAAGTTCTAGACTCTAGAAAATAGAATTGTGTATTTTGTTGACAAGTTCAAACTGTGACTCTGGTCTTTGGGTCTCTCAAGCCCAGAGTGGGCACCATGGATGCTCAGAGAACCTGTGTGGTATAGCGGAGAGGTCAGGGCCCAAATGCCTTGTTTCTTGTTTCGGGGGCTTCAGGTGGAGCACCCCAGCCCTGGGGCACTGGGAAGACTGCTGTGGCAGCCCTCTGTGTCTTTCACTCTTTTTGGCTTAATGATTTGAACCAAGTGATGTTACTTCTGATTCTGCTGATGCAGAATTTGAGCCTTCGGGTGCTGCAGTTGTGAACGAGATGTGAAGGTGGCCTCAGGTCTATCCCAGCAAGGTCAGCTGGTTTTCTTCCTGTCCACTCCTACCTTTGCTGCCCTAGCTCAAGGCTTTCTCACCTCCTTCACAGTTTCACAGCAGCCATCCTATCTGTAGGCCCGCTGGTCTATTCCCACCACAAGCTATCCTACATGTCCAAATTGAAAAATATTTTTAAAACATCTCTTTTATCATATCCCCTCCTTTTCTGCTTAAAAATCTACAAACACCTACCAAAGTATCAGAACTCAGGTGGGACCACTTGTGGGGCACAGTGAGGAGGAGAAGCCAGTATGATGTGGCCAGGTGGGAGGAGGACCCCTGAAGGGGTGGCCACCAGTCTGAGGGTCCAAGCTGAGTCTGGGTCAGCACTGAGATTCAAGGGGGTGAGAGGCTCAGTCCACCTGGCTGATGGGGTCCCAAACAGGCACTTCCAGGGTCACGCACCTGTTCAGAGTTAGGCTTCTGGATGATTCTTGTTTGAACAGGGACCAGCAGTGCTAAGTATGGGCAGGCAAAATCCAGGCAGGGAGTCAGGCCCCAGGCCAACAGGTTGGGTTCAGGCCAGATGCAGGTCAGTGGGAGAACCAGTGTGCTCAGTTAGAAACGGAAGCAGGGCTGGGCAGATCCCATGTCCTGCAGACCTGGTGGAGCTGGGACTTCAGAAATTGTCAGTCCCTCAATGTCCTCCATAGTGGGGACTGGCTCAAGGACTGACCAACACTGCGCTATTGGTCTGGGGGCCAGGGACCTTCCAAACAGGGGAGAAGAAATAGCTCATTTGGCCATTAAGAACCCTCCAGACCAGCACTGCAAAAAAACATTCTACAATAGAAAAATGTCACAGGTGGCTATTGAATACTTGAAGTGTGGCTAGTAGGAATGAAAAACTGAACTTTAAATTTTATTAAATTTTAAGTGGCTACTGTATTTGGCAGGGCAGGTCTAGAGCCTGGCTCCCGACTTACTTAAACATGTAATATCCTAAAAGTCACCCCCATGTCTCAGCCAAGCCCACCAGGGAGATGGTGATGATCTCTGCCGCAGACAGGCCGTTCAGCCACCTCATCTCAGTGGCTGCTGTCCTCACTGCGTGGATCTCTTTTTTCTATCCTTTCCACCTATTCAAATCCTGCCCATTCTTTTTGGCTGAGTCTAAGCCTGTCTGCTCCCAAAGCCTTCCCTGAGCGCCTAGCCCTCACTGCTGCCTTCATCATTGCCGCCTGAAACATTTGTCTGGCTTGCAGGTTCCAGACCTTCACAATGTTCCAGCATCTCCTTAGCAAGGCATTGAAGAGGTCCTTCATCATGCCCTAAGTCTCGCTTATCTTCCCATCACCATGAGCCTCTGATCTCGCATTCGGGTTTCTTTCTGCAATGAAGTTGGCTGCTGCCAACCCCTAAACACCTATGCTTGAGCTTCTGGGCCTTAAAACAGACATCACTGGTCCTCCCTGCCAGACCTTTCACTGACTCAGCTTCTTAGGCCCCAAACTGCCCTGGTGCCTCTGTGCTCCCACCCCTTGGACCTACCATATCCACAGCCCTTTCATCTCTCTCCTTCTCTTCCAACTCTCATTCCTTCCCTTTCCCTGCTTTCAGGGCCCCACTCTCAAAGTTTCTAAGATTGCTAAGAGCAAACCCCAAACTCTGTTTCTTCTCTTGCAGAGAGCAGTTTAGCTTTTCTGGTCAGCGATTTCTCCCTCCCAGCCTGGCCTTGAACCTTTCCCTCCATGACCAAAACATATTTGTTAAATGTGGTCCATACTTGTTAAATGTGGTCCATATTTGTTAAAGTGTGGTCCAACACTTTAACAATCTGCGCCCTGAGTTACTAATACATTCTCAGCCCGTGTCCACAGTTATTCCTTCCTGCTCCACACAGAGTGGGATCCCAGAGGGCCAGGATCACCCTGTGGTCCTTCACCTCCCCCAGGTGCCTATTAAAGTGCTCACTGTGCCCAAGGAGTAGTTGGTGAATTGAATTTGTTTGAATTAAAGAGAGGAACCAAAGGCAACACACCCCTTCCCGGCTGCAAGGCTGCAGAAACATTGAGAAGATAAAAAAGAAAGTTAGTTTGGGGCAGGAGGAGTGGAAACAAAGGTGAAGTTGGCAAAAAATAATGAAATCAGGACAGTGCCTGTGGCTCAGTGGGTAGGGCGCCGGCCCCATATACCGAGGGTAGTGGGTTCGAACCCGGCCCTGGCCAAACTGCAACAACAAAAAAAATAGCCAGGCATTGTGGCAAGTGCCTGTGGTCCCAGCTACTCGGGAGGCTGAGGCAAGAGAATCGCTTAAGCCCAAGAGTTTGAGGTTGCTGTGAGCTGTGAAGCCAGGGCACTCTACTGAGGGTGACCTAGTGAGACTCTATTAAAAAAAAAAAATCTTTTCTTAAACTTCCTAAAGGCTGTTATGTAAGTTACGTATCAAATTTTTAAACTGTAAATCTAAGACATTGTATGGAAGGCAAGCCCGTGGTACTTTTTAAAATACATGGCAGCCTCAAAGGAGTTTTATTCAAAAGAATGACATGCCGTGAATGCGGTAGTTAAAACATGTGGGCAGCTAGCAAAGAATCAGAATGTGGAGAAAAATCACAAGGGAGGCATATGTTGGTTATTCTGGGACTGCCTCCTAATGTAGTAGGAGCAAAAGTATTAACAGTGCTCATCTGGTGGGTCGAGCTGTGCATCTCAGCACCTAGGAGGGATTGTGGCAACTCGTTATTGCGAATTGGAGTTAATACCTGAAAAATTGGTCATCCCCGAGTGATTGACCTTATCAAGGTTTCGAGATTTCCTAAGTTTTTTTCCTTTTTTTAAGTTTCCCATTCCATTTCCTTTTAGGTACACGTTTTTCTACAGTGGCATCGTGAGTGACGTGCAGGTGACTGAGCGTCCAGCCAGAGTGGGTGTTCTCCTGGACTACCCCAACCAGAGGCTTCTGTTCATAAATGCTGAGAGTGGGCAGCTGCTCTTCATCATCAGGCACAGGTTCAGCGAGGGTGTTCACCCTGCCTTTGCCCTGGAGAAACCTGGGAAGTGTACTTTGCACCTGGGGATAGAGCCCCCGGATTCTGCAAGGCACAAGTGAGCCTGGGCTTTCAGAGTTTGCAAGGGCAACAATTTGAATCTGGAGGCTCTGTTGTTCTTTTCCTTGGGGGCTACATATTATTCGAGAAGTGTCCCACGCATTCACACGAGTGACAGCTGTGTGCACAACAGTGTGCCCGTGAGCACAACCCCCAGGAAGACCTTGGCTGTACGGAGCAGAGTGTGAGCAGAGAGGATGAAAACAACCACCTCAACCCTTTGGCTCATGTATATTTGCAGTCTTTCCTAAACTAAAAGGTCTTACACTTGACTCGGGAACCAAAACAGAGAAATAGACTTCCGCCTGTTTCATTGATTAAAAGAAACCCTCTCACGGACAGGTCGGAGCGAAAGGAAGGTTGGGTTGGTCAAACATTTTCTCAGAGGAAGAAATACGGACATATTCCACAAGAAAGATGTCCCCTGGCTTTGCCAAAGGATGATGACTCTGATCATTAGAGAAAGTGTTTTAACCGATCTAAATTTATAATGAACTCTTTTGTAATAATGTATAATGTAGAACTGGAGCTTCTTTTCCCTGAAATTTTAAATGTAGAAAAAGTGCTAGATATTAGAAATTTCCATTTTGTTAAATAAATGGTTAGTGTCTATAAAATGAAACAAGTTGTGTGAACTTTTTTGTGTAACTCACCCGTCTGGCATTTCGGGAGCAGGGGAAACTGCAGAGTAAATGCCCAGCACACGTCAGTAAGTTGTGTTACTGTTGATTTTTATGCGAGAATTTTACACACAGACACACATTTTAGCCTATAGTTGAAGTCAACAATCAGAAGCTAGGAATCTCTTTTGACTAACATAGAATGGCTGGTCATTTGATACTATTACATTTGATTACTATATTGATACTAATATAATACTATACCATAGCCTATAATCCCAGCTACTCAGTAGATTGAGGCAGGAGCGTCACTTGAGCCCCAAAGTTTGAGACCAGGCTGGAACAACTTAGTGAGACTTTGTCTTTACCAAAAAAATTTATTTTTGATTTTAAAAAACTAAAAAAAATTAGCTAGGTGTGGTGGTATGCTTGAGTTCAAGAGTTTGAGGCTGCAGGGAGCTATGATCACACCATTGCACTCTAGCTTGGATGACAGAGCAAGATCCTGTGTTCATTTAAAAAAGATTAATTATATTGAAATCTCTCCAAATCTTCTTAAAAATGTGTGTGCAATGTTGATCAATCTAGAATGCGTGTTGAGGCAATTGCTTGCTTCCTATAATGGAAATGCTTTGATCACATTCAGTTTTTAAAAAACTTCTTAAAACATTATGAATTTGGTTATTTTCTTGAATTGAGAAATAATATCCTATGTTTTGAATATATTCTAAAGTCCACTGTTTAGCAGCTAGATAATCCAAACTGGATTTGTAACGGCTTTCCCAGAGCCCCTTGAAGCCGTCACCTTGCTTTACACTTAGAGCAGTTGAGGCAAGACAGAGTCTTTGTGAAGCTGGAGAAGTCAATTGTTACTTTGTGGAGACTGTTATCTTCACGTTTTTAAGCTTTGGAAATGTTTTCAGCCTCTGATTGACCCTCCACCTGTGGTCATTACTTTTTTTTGGCATGAACGTATAACCACATGAGTTTTAGAATTGTAGTTTGGGTTTCTCCAAAAGTAGCCCAGTATAAAGACTCAGCACTGGTTGTGTCCATAGGAGCTGATTCCAGAAAGAACACCAGAGGAGGTGCGGGAGGTGAGACGGGAAGGTGGGAAGCCAGTAGGGACGTGTTTTATGAGTGGGTTATTAGCACTGTGGGCACCTGGGGCTCACTTGTGCATGTGTGGGCCCTCTGGAAACCACATGGAACCTGCCAGAGACTGGCACTGACCCACTCCTGCCCAACCACTATTGGTTGAGAGTTGCCTGGGAGACCTTCTCTGCAAGCTCCCCTGGTCCTGAGGAAGCCCTCAGAGAGAGCTAATGGGAAACAGACACCTGGCACAGGGCTCTGTGTGTGCAACCTACGGCAGCAGGGTGCCCTCGGTCGGCTGGAGGGGGAGAGGGAGGGGACGGCAGCTGCTGTCATGCTCCAAGCAGCTGTGGTACGAAGGAGAAGCCACTGTAATGGGGAGAACAAGATTTGCATCCTGACTGAGGCCTTATGAGATGATTGCCTTGGGAAACTCGGCTTGTTGAACTGTAATTGTAAACATCAGATTGAATAAACATGTGAAGTGGCACAGCGTTCTGCAGTTTATAAAGCATCACCCCAGGGACACGAGAGTGTCCAGCTCTCCCATAGAGTGGCCCTCCTGTCCCTGACTCCATGGCAGGAGGATGGTGGAAGGCAGGACTCTGGGGTCAGGAGATCCACGTGTTGGCTGCCTCTGTCTGTGGAGTGACAGATTTCTTGGTTGCTCCTTAAGGGATTAATCTAGTGCAGACAAGTAGAGCTAAATGAATGCTATTTTTCCACATTGTCAAGGACTTATTTACTCTATGGCTTTTCTTCTCTGAGTTCCAGTTTCCCTTCCTTTTGTCCTTCCTCTTCACACAACACAGACCCTTAGAAGGAGGAAAAGAAGTCAACAAATTTTGATCAAAATTGCTCCTCTGGAAATCTGTCAGTGGTGTTATTAGGTTTTCTGTCTGTTCTTCCTTCTTCCTTTCCTCCCTCTCTTCTTCCCTCCTTCTCTCCCTCCTTCCTTCCTTTGTTTTGAGATGGGTCTCGTTCTGTCACTCAGGACCCAGGCTAGAGTGCTATAGTACAATCCTAGCTCACTGTAGCCTCAAACTCCTGGGCTCTAGCAATCCTCCTGCCTCAGCCTTTCAAGTACCTGGGACTACAGGCAAACACCACCATGTTTGGCTGATCTGTAAATTTTTTTTTTTTTTTGAGAGATGGAGTCTTGCTACGCTGCCCAGGCTGCCTTTTGAGCTCCTGATCTCAAGTGATCCTCCTGACTCAGCCTCCCAAAGTGCTGGGGTTACAGGGATGAGCCACCACATCCAGCCTAAGTTTAATGACGTGTACAGCACGTGCGTCCTCTCTTAATCCTCATCAGAACCTTGCACAGTAAACATCATTACCAGTTTATAGATGAGGAAACTGATCTCAAAGCAGTTAAAAGAACTTATTTACCATCACAACTGGCAGGTGGCAGAGCATGGATCTTAGATATAACTCAAATCCTGAGCTGAAAATAAAATGATTACATTTCATTTTATTCTTTCTTATAGATCATTTTTCACATATATGTAGTGTGTGAGACTTACCTGTGTTTCCACACCTGAGTGTATACTTATGTACATACACATCCTCTTTCCCCTTCTGTTTTGTTGTCAGTGCTACCATCACTCCTGGAGGACACGGGGTTACCTTGATTTTTTCTTTCGGTACCGGTGAAACTTCATTCATTTGCACATGGCTCTTTGAAAGTTCAAAAGAGCCTATAACATTCTATTTGGGGAGACAAAACTTCACATCGGTGAAACCGCAACGCTGCTTTTAAGCAGTATGGAGTCAAAATAAAGGAGTTTGTGGGAAAAAGAAAAAGACACGAGATTAACACGGTGGTCCTTCTCTGTTTGTGTACATTCCTGGCAAACTTAGATGGACATACTCTTTGTCAAAGTTAGAAATATTTTTTTATCCCAACACAGCAGAACATGTTCCTGTTACTTTCCTGGAGGTGCTTCCTGAGAGTCCAGCAGGACTGAGGCCTTGTGCTTCATCACACCCACTCACAGAGCGTGCGCTTCCACGGTCGCAAACCTGTGCAGGAGGGACAGGGACGTGTGAAACACTGACTCTGTCCCATCGGAGCATCCTTCACACCTCAAAGGCCAGAATCTGAAGTCCCTTGTCATCCCCACTGCAGTCATTACCCTTAATAATCCCAAGTGCTCAACTGCTAAAAGAACCCACAAGACTCAAATAGTTTCCGTCCAAGGAACAGCGTTATTACAGGCAGAGGATATAGTGCGCCACACAGGCGGAGAGGCGCTGGCAGGGCTGTGACAGGCTTCTTTGTCCTCTCACTCTTGAGTTGCAAAGTGCACCTGGGCTCCTGGCCTGAAACCACCCCTGGAAGACGTGTGAAGCACTTTGATACCAGGGAGCTCAAATTTTATTTTAATTTTTATTGTTTACAGTTTTTGGCCCGGGCCAGATATGAACCTGCCACCTCTGGCATATGGGGCCGGCGCCCTACTCCTTTGAGCCACAGGCACCGCCCAAGGGAGCTCAAATTTTATCTGTGGTGGTGGTGATGAGTCTCTCATAGTGAGCTGCACACATGAGCACATTCTAGTGGCATGACTGTCCCCCACTTTTGAAAGTCACCTCCCCAATCCCACAGGCTCCGCTGATGATTACTAAGTCAAGTGCAAGTCATAAATCCAATGATTATTACTAAAAGAAGCTGACAGGCTGATACGTCCTGCCCTCTAGAACAACTGTAGGGTGAATTCATGGTTATAGAAGGCCACTTATTTTCAGTTACTAGGTTCTATGGCCTTGTCCAAGGGTCAGTAACTCTATAGATATGCTATGTTCAGTTCAGATCAGCTGAATTAACTCATACTAGGTGTTTACTGTCCTGCATTCCTAAGCCCAATGGCCAAGGGGTTTTTCAAGAATACCCTTAGAATCCAAATATCACGTATACCCCCACAAACATATATGTAGTACAACTATTATGTACCCATAATAATTAAAAATAATTTTTTTTTGAGACAGAGTGTTACTATGTCACCCTCAGTAGAGTGCCATGGCATCACAGCTCACAGCAACCTCAAACTCTTGGGCTTAAGCAATTCTCTGGCCTCAGCCTCCCAAGTAGCTGGAACTATAGGCACCTGCTACACTTCCCAGACATTTTTTTTGTTGCAGTTGTCATTGTTGTTTAGCTGGCTTGGGCCCGGTTTGAACCTGCCAGCTTCAGTGCACGTGGCTGGTGCTGAAACCACTGTGCTACGGACACCGAGCTGAAAAATAATTTTTTAAAGACAGATTAAAGGCCTGGAAAAAAAGAATGCTATTAGTAAGAGCTGAGTGCCTCCTTCAGTTCCCTGTTTGGTGGCTGCTAGGGCTGAGGAATGGTCCCAGGCACATCCCTGAGCTGAGTGAACTTAGCCTCCTGGATAGCTGGGTTTACAGGCTTATGCTATTGTGGCTGGCTAATTTTTCATTTATCTTTAGAGACAGGGATCTTGCTATGTTGCCCAGGCTAGTCTTGAACTCCTGGCTTCAAGAAATCCTCCCACCTCAGCCTCCCAAAGTGCTGGGATTATAGTTGTGAACCACCATACCTGGCGAAGAAATCAGGCTTATTTGATTTTTCTACAAGGACCAATGTGTAGAAGTTGAGGAAGTTGGTTCAAGAAAGGGAATAACACCCTGTCAGTAACAGTCTGCTAAGGAGCAGGCTGCGGAACAGGTTATGAGCACACAGTCAGGCAGAATGGTCAACTATCTAGAATATCAAAGACAAGTTTCCTACTTTGGCTTTTTGATAAGTGGTTTCTCAACTGTGTTTCTGGGGTAATGGGATTCCACAGAGGTGCCTGAGGAGCTGCGTGGGATCCAATAGGAAGGCCACATGGCCATGAAGTTAAACCCCTATCTATCTCATCATGGTACCTCGATT